TTAATGTCCGTCATGATTTAGAATCACAGACTGTTGTTGTTCTTATCTTCGTGATTTATGCCTTATTTTTATTAAAACAAATTTAGAAGTCAAGGGAAATCTGCACCAGGATTCAAACAGTTAGAAGAACTTTTGTCAGGAGATTTTTGTTTGTTTGTTTTGGCATTTATTTCTGTTAATAATCTTTTTCGTGAAAAATTTTAAATATATATAAAATTAGAGAAAATAGTAATGAAATCCTAAGGTATGTCTCATTCAGATTCTAGTTACAAATTCTCATCCAATCCTGTATTATTTAAATCCCCTGCCAACTACCTTCTTCCACCAGCTGGATTATTTAAAGTGAACTCTCAAGTTGCTAAGGTTGGGATCCTAAATGTCTCCAAAGGCCATTGGTTGCCAGTCTGTGACACTTGGCCGGGGCAGGTGGCAAGGGGCGGTAGAAACTTTAGAGAGCAGGGTCTAGCAGAAGGACATTAGGTGTTGGAGGGTGTGACCTTGAAAGGGGATATTGGGACTCCAACACTTTCCTGTCTCTCTTTTTTTTCCTTCCCAACTACTGTGAGTTGAACTGCTTTGCTCTACCAGGTACTTTCCCACCATAGTACTGTTCTGCTTTGCTACAGGTCCAAAAACAATGGGGCCAAGTGACCATGATTTGAAACCTCTGAAACTGTGAACCAAAATAAACCTTTCTTTCTTATTAGTTTATTTTTCTCAGGTATATTTGTTATAGCAATGAAAAGCTGATTAACACAAATATCATATCATATTCTTATAGATGCCTTAGTATTTTTTTTCTAAAAGGGAAGAACTACCTCTTAAAAACAGAATCACTTATCATACTTAAAAATTTATAGGAATTCTTTAATATCAAATCCAGTCAGTGTTGAAATTTCCCCAATTGTTTTTATATATGTATGTATGAAACAAAAGAAACAAGCATATACTTATGGTTTTATCATCCATTGAGAATCATTATCTAGATCCATTGTCTTATGAAGAGTCAGAAAATATTGATACTCTATCATTGTTTTAGTCAATTTTTTTTTTTTCTGCTGTGACTAACAGACCTAACAAGAGCAATTTTAGAGGAGGAAAAGTTTATTTGGGGCTCACGGTCTCAGTCCATAGATAGCAACTCCATTACTCAGGACTCCAGGTCAGGCAGAATCATGGCAGAAGAGTGTGGCAGAGGGAAGCAGCTCACATGATGATCAGAAAGCAGAGAGAGACTCCCCACTTGCCAGATACAAATAACATACCCCCAATGACCCATCCCCATCAGGGGATTAATTCACTGATTGAGTTAAGGCTCTCATAACCCAATCATTTCACCTCTAAACTTTTTTTTTTTTCCATCCTCTCACACATGAGCTTTTGGAGGACTTGTCATATCTAAACCATAACAATCATTTTTCATTCATTCTCTGGAATTCTAAGATGAAGAACTTTCCCTTGTTAAATAGGTAGCTGATATGCAGGAAAGGAAAGATAAGCTTCACTCTTTCTTTTATTCACAAGCTTTCATAAAAATGAGTTAGACCACTACTATCCTCCAAAGGGTAGAAATAACATGTTTCAAAAAATTGAGTAGGATTTTGGGTGCTTTTTAAAACACATTTGATTCTTTGATCTATTACAGTGATTGGTCCTTTGAGGTCCCATCTTTAGCCCAGGGGACTGTCTCCGGTTGCCTCTGGAGTCATTTTGACACAACCTCACGATTCTCATAGTTCCCTTACCTTCTCAGTTGTAAGTCATTCCAGGTTAACTGCACAGGGCTCCTACCTCAAATCTGGAGTCACCAGCTTTCCAGAGTCCTGGTTCCTTTCAGCAAGAATGATATTTACAGACCACATGAAAGTGCTCATTGTTAGTAGTTGGAAATGTTTTTTTTTTCTATTCTTTTTTTTTTTATGAACATAGCTAGGGAATTTTGTTTTCTTTTTAAAAACAGACTGTGTCAGGAATTCATAGTAATATTTCTAACTTAAATTTAATATTGCAAAGAATTTTACTTGAATGTTTGGCTTTATATTTATCTCTCTCTCTTAAAATGTTAAAACTCGCAGTTTCTAACATGATTAACTTAGCTATGTATTTGTTTCATCCAGTTATAAATGGTATGGTGTATGCTTGTGTATTATCCATTGCTATTTTTTCTGGCTCTATGATTATTGAAAAGTTTAAGATTTCTGGTTTTTTTTCTTTCTTCCTTTTTTTTTCCCCCTCTTTTGGGATACATCGCACGAAGAATGGACAAATTACTGTACTTTCAAGACACTTAAAATAAGTCCTCTCTGTGAGGTTCATCCAGAAACTCAATACAAAATTGCTTCCTTTGTTTGCTTTTGCTTTTTATTTTTAGAGGATGTTTTGTAGTTTAATTATGTTTCATAATTATTTCAAAACTCACATTATTCTAAAGGCAAATTTATAGAACAAGGTATATTCAGAGAGCCTGGATTCTATTCATTTTACCCACCTCATTTTTTCCTTCCCATTATGTGTAAGAATTTTAAATTAGTTTTTGATTTACCCTTCATTTTTTCCAACGCAAGAAAATTTGCGCATATTTTTGTATCCTCCCCTTGTTTTAAACAAAAGGTAGCATACTATACACACTCTTCTATACCTGTTGTTGTCTACCCCTAGACTTTGCCCCATAACAGTATATAGAAATATTCTTCATTTATTTTTCAAACAGTTCCATTATATGCTATTATGTAATTATACCACAGTTTATTATAAAAACCCTTTATTGGTGTACACTGGGTTGATTTTAGTCTGTCCTCTTCCTCCTCCTCCTCCTCCTTCTTCTTACCTTTCACCAGGGGATGAGGTCTAGAGTAGATTTCTAGGAGTGGGATTACTGGCTTAAAAATAAAAACGTGTAATTTTGTTAGATACTGTTGAATTCCTCTCCATAATGATCTTATTAATTTGCAAGATTTGAGGGGATAGTTAAAGGGTATCTGATAAAACTTCAGGTTTTTGGATAACTTTTGAAAATGTAACAGAGGGATGTCTTTATTTATTCATTTTGAGTTTTTCTTAAACTAAACATAGTCCTCAGAGATCAAGCTTTCAGCCATTTTGTTTCCCAAACAGGAAAACTTTCTATTTTTTTTTTTTTTCCAAGCTCTCAGTACCCTTCAATTTACTTTCCTGTGTTCCAAGGGCACAGGCCTGTGCTAAGTACTGGTGAGACATGCGCATAATCAACACAGTGGCTGCCCTCCACAGACCCCTACTGACTGGGGAGACTGGCGCATAACACCTGGACACCACAAATGGCCAAGTGACAAAATCTAACATGTTCTGAGGACACTGTAGAAGAGAATGGTGTATTCTGGCCAGTGGCCTCTGGGAAAGTTCTGGGAACCGTGGGATGTAGACTGGCCTTGAGAAAGACATCTCTAGCAAAGGTAACTACTAGAATTAGGAAAGGTTTCAGACCCTCAGGCATGGAGACATGACTCTGGGACTTTGAGAGTTTCCAACTCTTTCACAAGACCTACCTGTCTTGAAGCCACATGAACTAAGCCTTAGATCTGTAAGATGGAGCTTTTGATTCTACTCTGAATGATAGCTTCCCAGAGTGTTTCCCCCTAAGCTTGATTTTGCGCAATGAGAATCTCAAAAACATGCAGCCCTGAGTTTGACCTCCCAACCACAGCCACTCTAGAGTCATTGGCCTGGGGCTCATTTCTTTAGGTTTCTTTAGGCAGTGGACTAGCCTCTTAAAGATGCAAAGAGTGCTTTAGGAGAGGAGAGATCAGGGGGTCAGGATGCCAGCTGACAAGAATGTCCCAGTTTTTGTGTGTGTGTGGCTGAGAGACAGATACTTATGACAACTGAAGTATCTGGGTGCTGGGGAGGATGGCCTGGGTTCTCTGGTTTGGCAATCTCTCCTTTCCCTTTCTGATAAGTGAGTGTATTTCTTGGAACCAGAATAATTGTGTGTGTGTGTGTGTGTGTGTGTGTGTGTGTGTGTGTGTGTGTTTAATCTTGTTTGAGAGTTCGGTTAAAATGTAAATTGTTCATGATAGTGATTGACAGGTTAAAGTAGACATTTAACTCAAGACTTAGCCTCTCACTTGCAGAGAAAGAAGCTGAAGTCCAAAGAGCTTATTACATTTTACCTGGGGCCTCACCTCTACAAAAGTCGGTATAAAAGTTCCTTGCTTAGCATCTGGATGCCCATCTTAAGTGACAATTGCCATTTTAAGGAAAAAGTTTCACTTTCTCACCCAGAGGCATTTCTGAGAAAGGCTCCCCACTCCCTCATACCAACCCAACCCTTCAAGGCCTGTGTTAGGACCCGCCTGGCTCTGATTCCTGAGCCTACCCCATAAGTCCTGGAACCCAGGCCTGTTTGCCCCTCTCTCCACTATAGAGGGATGGCCTATATTTGTCAGCTCTGACAAATAAACTCTGCTATGTATCTCTGCCTGGTCTCCGTCTTTCATTTCTCCCTTACCGTCTCTCCTTTCTAGCTTTCCCTTCAGACAGGACTTCGAGAAAAGCACAGGTCTTTCTTCCTCCCTGCTTTGCCCCAGCAATTGGATAAACATTTTACTAGGGAGAGAGTTGGAGTCACTTCTTATGGGATTTAGTGGTGAACACACAAATCAACATTCGGAAGGCTGTTCTGACTCTTTTTATGACTTTTAAATATAGCATAATGGCTATTGAAAATAAATCTTCGGATCTTGAACTTGACAACGTCCTTCAGCTCCATTCTCTCTTAGGCTACAAGGACATATTTCCATTTTATTGCAAATTGAACAGAAGCAGTTTTACTACACAGCCAGCAGTTTAGCAGACTGCTTTCAGTTTCAAACCTCTCCAGATTTATCTAGAATGAACTTGAAGTTGTGGGTAAATAACCATTTCCAACAGGGTGTTCTGACGGTCTTAGGACGGGGGTGGACAGTTACCCGGTGGCCTGAAACTGTACCTTTATGTACTTTGTATCATTTCCCTTTTTTTAGGACCAGATCTTCATGGAAAATGTAGGAGCTGTGAAGCAGCTCTGCAAGCTAACCAACAACCTTGAAGAAAGAATAGAAGAATTAGAAATATGGAACAGGAAGTTGGCCAGGTTAAAGCGACTCAGTAGTTTGAAGACATCAGCCAGTGAAGCGAGTTCCATCAGGTGTGTCCAGTGTGTCCACTAAAATTTGGGGGAAGGAGAGAGTGGGCTCTTTAAATCACTACATCAATATAAAGAAAGGTCTTTCAATCAAGCAGCGATCATTACTTTCCGATCACGAAGTCCCTATTCTTCCCTTAGAGTGTTTTCAAACACAATGGCCTTATGTGATACTTCTCTTATTTTTTTTCTGTTGCTGCTTTAAAAATCAAACAAAACATGAGCCATCTGTTTACTATCGCTCGTTATAGGAAGTGCTCAATTTTAGCAGAGGGATGGCTTCTCCTTTATGAAAAGAGGTGGTTATTTCCAAATTTAGAACACCAAGGTTCGTCCACAGGGGAAAAACTTCTTATTCTTTGTTTTCATTACTTAAGGAAGTAAATGCACATTTTCTGAGATCTATTTCTGAGGAAAAGAGAAATGTATTTCTTAATGCATTCATTTATGCTCACAAAGGTTGCTTTTTTTTTTTTTTTTACAAGTGCCACCCCCCCCACCCCCACCAGCCCAACTGCTTTGACTTTTCTCTTTTCAAGTTATCACTGCATTACAAAAGAAAGACCTGCTGATGTGTTAGTGACAGCCTGGGCCTTTGTCATATAATTCCTGGAGAGGCATTTGAATAGTAATCAATTCTTTCTTTCTCTTTTCAAAGCAAATTTAGTAGAGCTGTTAGTACATCTTCTCCAAGAAGGGCCATTCCCAAAAAATCCAACAAGGTAAATACTCTTAAATTTATAATAACAGAGGTGATATTTTCTATATGAAATAAAAGTCTTTAGAGAAATTGATCAAGAATTTTTTTCTCCCACTTATTTATTTGCTGGTGGAATTCTCTAATTTGTATCTCATATACTTTAGGTCTTTGTACTAATGGTCATTCATACTAATGTCTTAATGGATATTAACTGTTTTTTAAAAGAGTAGACGTTGAGAAAAAAGAATGTAGAACATGTCTATTTCAGAAATATTATTTGGCCAGTTTTGTTTATACTGTCCTGGTCAGGTAAAACTCAGTAGCCCCTACTTGAAAATGGCCATAGGCTATAAAATCTATGTGGTTGCCTTGACCTCACCTAGTTCTTTATGAAGATCTCAAAGGGACTTCAGTTAATCCTCAAATCCCTCTTTTCCCTTCTAAATTTAGTACTAAATATGTTAATGAGGGAATAGCATTCACTTGCTTGCAAAGGTTAAAATGTGATGGTTTCATTAATTAAGGCAACTCACATCAAGTAAGATAATATTTCCAATAAAAAGTGAAGGTTAATTGTGTATTGACTTGAAGGATGCCCTCTCCCTCAGAGACCTGTGAGCCAGTAGCTTAGTCCCCTCCTAAATTACTCCTCTACTCCATGCAATTCACAGAAAGCTGTGAAATTCAGCTTCCTCCCTTATCCACCACTGGTCCAAAGGTAGTGCTTGCCAGCAAGATATGCCTGACTGTAACGGTGCCCTGTTAAAGGCTGACCCCATGCTCAGGCCACTGCTTCAGCTCACTCTCTACTCCCCTTGCTATACTGTGTTGAAGTATTATAAAAGGACTCAGAAGTATTTTACAATTCTTCTAAAAACTATTAGATTATTATATTGCTGACAAGCTTTTTGGTGTACCAATAAACATAAATACATGGGTAAATGTATTATATACACATTTATACACACTTACACATGTTCTGAGCAAGTTAATTAAATTGAGAAACATAATTCTAGTCTCTACTTTACAAAGATCATTGATAGGATTAAATGTGCTAAATACGTGCTAGTTACATATTGCTCTACAAACACAAAGCACTAAAAACATGTGGGAAAAGTGCCCCTTTATACTAACTTATTTGCAAAAAGAATGAAGGAAATAATATCTACATCCAGGACAGTCCTGATAGGTGCAGTTTGGTTACTTGCAATCTCCATAGCTCCTGTCTTACACCCAAAGATTCTCTTTATTTTGTAGTTATCTCAGAATGTTATATATGTCCATGAGAGTAGATCCTGGGTTCACCTTCCTCACCCTGTGTCCTTAGGGACAAGTACATATTAGGTGCTCAAGAAATACTTGCCAGATGAATACATGAATGGAAAGTTCAGTCTGAGGATATCCCCTGAAGGTTCACAATTTAAATTAAAAGCATAAAATGATTGAGTGTTTTGAATGTGTGGAATTGGAATGTGGGAATTGGAGTGTGGACAAACTCTTTGACTCTTGCAGTTTTTCTGAGAGGCCTGTTGGTAGTAGATAAGTCAGATGTGATCTCTTCTTCTAAGGAACTACAAGGCACTCAGGGAGATGGGGAGAAAATAAAAAGAACAGTTTTAGCTGGATGTGATAAAGGTTGCAGAGGCTCAGGACACTGCCCTGATATGAGAGCCCGGCTTCATAGACAGTATGCTGGGCAACAGCAATGGATCTGTAGGAGAGGTTTCAGATGGAATGGCAGAAGCAAACCTCTGGGAGCTAGAACTGGGTTCACTGAAGGACTAGGTGGGAGTTGGTTAAGGAGGATTGTGAAGATAAGTCTGAAAAATATATCTTAGGCTCAGAATTCCTGGATCACTGGAACGGTTAGTTCATTCAATAAGCCACGAAGACTTTTTGAATAATAACAGTGGCAAAATGTTTCCTTTTGTTTTTAGGGACATAACAATGGAGACAGCATAGCATTGTGTTTAAGAGCACAGATTGTAAAGCCGGATTTTAAAAATTCAAATCCTGGCTCTGTGACTTATTAGTGTGTGGTCTTGGGGTGAGGCATTTAGCCTTCCTGGGCCTCCTTTTCCCTGTCTCTAAAATTAGGATGATAAAAATAGCTGCCTCACAGGGTTATCAAGGGTGCTTGTGAGGATATGGGCATTGGTGTCTGCAAAGCACTCAGAAGAGCGCGTGGATCGTAGAAAGTGCTGGACACGTGCTCACTGAAGTTGATGTGTTCAGACCTGCTGCTCTAGATTCTCTTACGTTGGTGTGCAGCAGACTCATCCAGGGAATTTAATACAGTACAAATAATGGGGAATGTTTTGCTCCTCCTGGGATGTCTTGATAGGACATCTCAGCTGTGTCTGTGAAGTTGACTCTCCCTTCTAAGCCAGAACCAACTCACTAGGTGACTTTTCTTCCTTGGGGCCTCCTTGAGTTATTGGGTCACTGAAATACATGTGTGGTGGGGAGTGGTACTCTTGGGTTGGTGGGGACGTTAATAAGCAAGTACTTTCTGTGAGCAGTTGATGGGCCTTACCAGATGGTAAGAAGCTTAGCTGGGAGGGGCCTCGACTTCCACATTGCTCCCCGCGCTGGCCAAGACCCATTCTGGAGAAAGCTTGAGGTCACCTGATCTAGAACCCATCCAGTTGCTCTTCTGTTCCTCTTTTCTGCACCTCCAAGAGCTAGGCAGGTGCACCTCCAAGAGCTAGGGTGGGGTGAGGCAAGAGGGACTTAAGAATTCAAGTTAGAATTCAAAGTATGTGGAGGAGAAGGGAAGAGGGAAGAAACAGCCACAGATAAATATTTCAATGATCTTACTTCTCATAGAATCCCAGCCCCTCCCCCTTTTGGATGAGGCCTGTTTAAACAGAATTTTCCAGGGCCTTGAGGTTTTCAGTAGTAATTCTTACACACATCTGAATTGGAGAACATTACATTGTTAATTGGACCCACCCAATGACTCCAAAATATCGGCATACATTATTTTATTATTCCTGTCTTATTATTGATAAGGAAAATGAGGATCAATGACATTTAGATGATTCGTTCAGGATTGACTCCAAGTTGGACTTCAGGTCTTGGGTTATTTCCCTATGCTTGGTTAAAGAATTTTGAGAAAATCATGGAGATTTAAAATAACCGAGCCCCCGTGAAGAGTAGGATAATACTACTTAATTTAACAATAATACAGCATACTGTTAGGACATACCCAGAACAGTTCCACTAAGACACAGGAATGGTATATACCATTGACTTTTTGATATTCAGACTAACTTCCAGTGGCCATATGGATGACTCAGTTATAATAACCCAAAGGGTTTGTGTACTTGTTGAAAAGTGTATAGTTAACCTCCCCCTTTTTACATTGAAGAATTTTTCTTTAATCAGATAACAAGCTCAAGAAATTCAACCTTAGACCAAATTTCTTAATTGTCTCCACTCTCCAATATGCTTGCAACTGAAATGTGAGCTTCCTATTCATAATCCCCAGTGCAAAGCGAGTATTGCATTAGCTTTCTTCTGGGGATACATGGTAGGAAACTTATATTTAATGGGCACCTTATTAAATGGGCAGAGAACTTCTCAGCCAGATTTCCTACCAGTTCCTCAGCTGTCAATCCTGTAATTCTCGACCCATTCCTTGTACACAAGTTTTTATGCCAACATATATCAGTCTTTAAGGTTTGTCTCATTCTGTAATTTACTGATTTTATTTTATTTTATTAATATTTAATTTTAGTGGTAGTTGGACACAATATCTTTATTTTATTTATTTTTATGTGGTGCTGAGGATTGAACCCAGGGCCTCGCATGTGCTAGGTGAGCGCTGTACCGCTGAGCCACCATCCCAGCCCTGTAATTTACTGATTTTAACATCTCCTATAATGTTGTACATAGCAGAGCTCAAAAAACACGTGTTGAATAGGTAGATGTAAGAATAAATAAGACACGGGTCCAGAGTGGTCTCCTTATAAATACGCAGAAGAATTAGATACCAATGAGAGAGTTCATTGGAGAGCTTAGTTGGGTTTTATGCCATAGAATCTTTTTCATGTTCTGTCATGGTGCCTGAAATTCTTTGGTGGGGATTTATTTCTTTACATCCTGAAGACACTTTGATTTTTAAAATTATTCTAGTAAAAGATGGACATTTGGGTTCTTGTCATAGAGATGCTCTTCTCTGGAAACACTGCAAGAATAAGTGCCTAATGAATGGCATAGACTATTGTCTGCAGGGTATGGGGAAGGGAGAATTCTGCCGCTTGGAAGGGAAGGGAGGGCCTGGGGCTGGGCTTTGAAGGAATGTTGTTTTCGGAGAGGCGAGTGGGGGTGGGGATGGGGTGATGTCAAAGACCCCTGCTGGGAGCAGCTCTTCCAGCTTCCTCCTTACAGTTCATGTGCTGATGTATCACTGTCCATTAATGAACTTTTTTGTAGGTTTATATTTCAGGAAAAAAACAGTTTTGCCCTAGCTGGGTTTTCCAGACCTTGGTTATAATTCTCATTGCTGTGATGGCATTTTGGTAAGAAAAACTTCAATGTTATGTTATGTCAAGTCTTCTTTTCCTTCTCATCTTTCTTTTCTCACCTGTGAGCTGGGTACTGACCTAATTTACTTGGAAGACAAGGAAAGAGCGCTTAAAACTAGGCACTGACCTTCAGTAGCTTAGAGTGAGGGAGCCCCTTTTAAATTCATATTTTGAAAAAGAAGGCACTGGCTTTCTGCAATTAAATATGAGCTGAAGGTTGACAGGTATTTTTTTTCTATCAAGTGTTGTGTTTTAGCAGCACGTTCTCTTGTGTTTTTCTTAGCTTTGCAAATAACTTTCTCATATGGGGAAGAAGAGTGTAGGAAATCAGCTGTAATCTACTCTCTCTGGTCACCCATGTTCATTAAGATTCTTCTGGATTTTTCAGTGAACACTTTATATCAAAGGGTTACCAAGATGTATAAAAAGGCAACCAGTGTGATGAAAGTATGGCCAAATCTCCTGAGCAGTTGAATCAAGTGAAAGCAGTAAGGATGACAGTGTTTGCTAATAAGCAAGCTGGATGGCTTTTTACCACTGTCCCTCTGCTGGGAGGTGGGAGGGACCCCTTGTTGGGATGCAGGGTGCTTGCTCAAGCCTGTCTCCAGTGGCCCCCTGGCCTTTGATGACTGGTCATCTTGCCTGTGTTCTCTGGGCCTTTGAATACTCCTTTTTTTTTTTTTGTTTTTAGTCTGACTATTCACATGGTGAAAGAAAAAAAAAAATGCTTTGTGAGTGTGGGAAAGGACTGCCTTCTGGGCCTTGTCTTAGGGAAGATAACCATTCAGAGAGAAAGCAAGCAAAGGCCCCAAAGTTTTTCCAGTTTCTTGATCTAAAGAAGCTTCCCAGCAGATCTCTTTGTGCCCTTTGCTCCCCACAGCATTTCACTCACTTTCTCTCTCTCTCTCTCTCTCTCTCTCTCTTTTTTTTGGGGGGGAGGCGCGGGGGTACTGGGGATTGAACCCTGAGCCTCAAGCTTGCTAAGCATGAGCTTCACCCCCAGCTTAACATGACTTGGTACTGCCCACTGCGAAAGATGCCCAAGAATTTGATGCTACTATACAAAATCCCCATTAAGTGCCTTTACAGGTTTCTCACTCTCCCAAGTGCTTGTCTTCTCTTGGGATTTCCAACTCAGGAACAGACACACTTACCATGGCCAGCCCAGTGGAAAGGTGATAGGAAACCTCATTAGAGGTTAAGAGACTGCTTTTAAAACATATTTATTGGATCTTATGAATTCCAATATTGTTGACCACTAAGACCATGAGTGGGAGGTATTTGGCTTCTTGTTTCTGGCCTGTGGTGTACCCGAGAAGAGTCTGAACCAGGGTTTACCCCAAAGAAAGGAGCAGGTGTCAATTTCATTCTATGACCCTGGAAAACTGCTGGCCAAGTTTGGAGAACCAGGTGTGAAGTCAACTTGGCAAGAAGTCAGTTCAGTAGACCCTGCTTCAAGAAAAGTACACAGTGAGACTGAAAAGACATCAGTAGACTTTCTTGTGTGGCTCTTGAGAATGCTGGAAATAGCCCTCAAAGAGAACCCAAAGTCTTTGGACGAGTGAGCATTGTTGGTATAGTGTCCCAGAGCCTAGATAGACCCTTCAGGGAAACCTTCCATTTGGATATGCAAGTTCTACTAATGGGAGGGGAAAGCGCCTTTGTTATTTCGAAGTCAGTGTGGAAATGGGTGCTCTAAGACATTTCTTTTCCTTTCTCTGCCCAATTTGGATGTAAGGGGCTGGGGATGTGGCTCAAGCGGTAGCTCGCTCGCCTGGCATGCGTGCGGCCCGGGTTCGATCCTCAGCACCACATTCAAACAAAGATGTTGTGTCCGCCAAAAACTGAAAAATAAATATTAAAATTCTCTCTTAAAAAAAAAAAAAAAAGAAAAGACAGGCAGCAGGAAGAAGTTAAAGGTGGTCAAAGGGTATGGCCTCCACAGCTGGTTACACCTGTGCCTCCTTCCATCTCCCTGGACTGCTCAGTAGATGGCCTTCACCAGCAGGAAGTGAACTTTGCCTTGGCTATACCCTGCAAGGAGCCAAGGGCTGCCTCCTGCTCTTCACATGCTTCCTCTTGTAATCTTCCACTAGTGACAGCCGCATCTGAGACAGCTTGTCAGAGCTGCTCTATGGAAAAATCCATCCGTGTGGATACCCCAGGAGCCTCTGAGCTGCAGGAAGCCCCAGGCTTTTTCTCACCAGGGCAGAAAAGCCTAACTGTGCTGGTTTCCATGGTGTTTTTGACAGCTATGGCTGCCCCTCCCCCTCGTGCCCATCTGTGTGGCCTGTGAGAGTACATCTTTGGCCAGCTGGAAGTGTGAGATATATACGGAAACAAATCTTTCAGATAATGCTTTTTTTTTTCCCCCTCTCTTAACAGTGCTTTGATGATAGTCTCCCTTTACATACTTAGCTTGAAAGATCAAGACCAGCATGTCCCAGATCTCCCTCCAAGGTGAGAGTTCAGATCTTATATTCCTTTGGGAGAGGGATTCTTGAAGGTCTGTCTCATTAATCCTTGCATTCTCCTCCAGCAATATCACAAACTCCCAGGAGGCAATTCTGCCACCCACAGTCTCCCCCTCAGGTAAGGTCTTTGCATTCCTCACTGTCAAACCCAGCCTGTCTTGCATGTGCAATGTCAATACAAGAAACCCGCCTTTCTGGTTAACGGTTAACGTGGATGCTTCCCTCCCCTCTGCTACATGCCCAGCCGTGCTTCCTACATCACTGGCAACCACACAGACCTCCTTACAAGTACCTGAAATTACTTTCTGTGAGATCCTGCCATGCCAGGAAACTTACTGCTGCCCCATCTGGGGAATGAGGAGTCCTGTGCTGAGACAATCCCAAGAGGAGAAGAAAATCCATCAGAGGCGAGGGGCAGGTAAATGATGTTAAAAGAGAAACAACGAGGGCTTTGAACTCCAGGTTTCTTCCCTGGTCAATATCTACTTGGATGTCTGTTAATGGTTCCGGATATAGTTTCGCTCTCCTGTTTGGAGTGGCAAAAATCTTTAAAAATGCAAGTACCCAAACTGGCAATCATCAATAATATTGAGTTCCTTGTTCGAGGGGATGACATTTTGGTAGATTCAAGTCCTTATCATTTTCACCAAGTGAAAAGGGTCTCATTTGCCTGTTGCTGGCTAAGATGATATAGTAGCCATCTTAGATGGTATAGTAGCCATGGACTGGTTCAGTCTTCATTTTCAAGGGGTTTTTGACCCTGTAAGTTCACTCCGAGTGAAATAATTATATGCACATGCGTTGAAATTTTGGTTCATTTAGGACTTAAAAATTGGTGTTGTATTTGGGTTCTCTGTCCAAGCAGACTATGGCAAAATATTGAGAGACTTTGGTCACTCTAATTTAGAATTTTTAGGGCAGGCTCTAAGATAGTGAAAAACAAGGTTGGCATTCTACATTCAGAGAACCTTCTTCCTTTTCCTTTTACACACAAACAGTTGTATTTCAAGTTTAAAAAAATTATAGAAACTTGATCAAGGATTATCCGTATTATTATCTCTGTAAGATCAAATGCAATTCTTCTAAATTTATACTAAATTATTATTTTTGAAGTCTCCCATATGCATATTAATAACTATCTAAAATAATATCAATAATAATGCTTCTAACAGTACATATGAATATGGCTTACTTATTAGAATGCTGTCAAAACAACAACACTCAAATAGTAGTGTCTCCATGTAGAAAGAATTTCTTTCTGACTCACTCTGTATTTCAAATGTGGATCAAAAGAGGGCTCTGGGTCATCATTCATTCAGGATCTAGCTGATGGAGATTCCATCTCAGTACACATTCCCACAGTCTCTGTAGTCGTAAGAAAACAGGTCATGTTGTACACCGGCATTCATAGCTTCCATCCAGGCACAACACACATCACTTCTACTCACACTTTATTGGCCAAAGCAAGTCATATTAGTCATGTCTAATTTTAAAATGGATAGGGAAATGAAAATCTAACTCATGCCTGAGAAGATGAACCAAAAATATTTTTAGGCAGTTCTAATACCTGACACACCGAATGTGGTCAGTGGGTAAAGTTTTGAGGCACTAATGTAATTTCCTTTCTTTTTGATATTATTTCATATCCTAGTCTTGGATAAATAACTCTTACAAATCACTATGACTATGGCATAAGAAGGTTTTACTTGGGCTGGGGATATGGCTCAAGCGGTAGCATGCTCGCCTGGCATGCGTGCGGCCCGGGTTCGATCCTCAGCACCACATATAAACAAAGATGTTGTGTCCGCCGAAAACTAAAAAATAAATATTAAAAATTCTCTCTCTCTCTCTCCCCCTCTTACTCTCTCTTTAAAAAAAAAAAAAAAGAAGGTTTTACTCTACTGTCATGACAACTTGCATCAGAAAAATCAATCAATCCCCTCAAGCCTGCAAGATAGGCCCTGTAATTGTTCCCATTTTTTTTTCCTAGTGAGGAAGCCAAGGCAGAGAGCCCTCCCCATCACCCTAAACACCTACAAGAGGCAATGCTATTGCTGCTTTTCTCATGAAAACACTGATTTGAACAGATACATCATTACAGAATGAAGATAAGGCTTCATTTTGAAGAAAGAAATTAGTTTTAGTCGTCATCATCTCTATATTTTTATATATTAAAAAAAAAAAAAACCTAGTACTATCACAAACATTCCTAAAGCCTCCATCCCTTGTGAAAGTATGTGGAAACTTGTGGCTGGCAAGCCTTTTTCTCACCCTGGGTGTCCTTACCAGGGACACTTGATATCCTTTTTTTGAGAGCAGTCCTTAGAAGGGACCATCCCACCTATGACAGATGTATGGATAGCAGTGGATTCTGAACAAGGAGAGGATGTGGACTGATTCAGTCTTCATTTTCAAGGGGTTTTTGACTCTGAGTAAGTTCACTCCAAGTAGCAATGGCATGAAGAGAATATTGAGAACTGAGCTTATTGACCAGATAAAGATTTGCTGCTTTCCTTCCTGGGACAATGAGTGCCTGCTGATCTTGTTTCCCTATCTATTGAAATTCCTAAAAAGGGCTGGGATTGTGGCTCAGCGTAGAGCACTTGTCAGCACAGGCGGGACCTGGGTTTGATCCTCAGCACCACATAAAAATAAAGGCATTGTGTTGTGTCCATCTATACCTAAAAAATAAATATTAAAAAAATAATAAAATAAAATATATTATTAAAAAAAAAAAGAAATTCCTAAAGAAAGAAGATCTGCTCCAAGGTGCCTGGCTATATTCATCTAGACAGAGCCAGCAGCTTCTCTAGGTAAAAATGAAATTTAAGTTCAACTTACCAGGCTCCCTGACACACTGGGAAAATTGTTCTCTCTTCCTTTGTTCAACTGGAGAAAAAGAGAATTGAAATGTTTGATTCACTTTCATCTTCAGGGAACCTGGAAACTTTTAAGGACTTAGAGTCACAGATGTCAGAGAGCGGATAGACCAGTGATATTCTATCTTTATGACCTTGTGGATCCATTATTAACATGCTTTTACAATGATTTGATTGAGAAAAACATATAGGAAAAATTCAACTGTCATATCCGGCACAACAGTTTATTCAGGACTACATGAACCAGTTGATGAGGGCATTAGGAAAAAGACCAACAGACACAAGTAGAGAAAAGGCCAGGGCTTGGTGGAGAGAGACTGACCATGAGCAAGCTTGGAACCTTTTAATAAAGGTTGTATTTTTACATAGGTTTAAACATCAGAAAGATTTATTATGAGAAAGCTTCTTCAAGATAAACAGAATCGAAGCTGAGGGTAAAAGCAACCCAATTAGAACTTATCAGCTTGTGCCCATAATTCTCTACCTCCAGGCCGGAGATGTTTTAGCCCAAGGTTATGAACTAATAAAATTCCTTGGCTAGCAAGGAATTTCTCTTTGAATAGGGCATCACCACCCAACTGGGTGGTTTGGGATGAGTGCTTTTGCACCAAACAGTTCCCTAGGGGAGGTGTCCACCTTGGTCTTTGGACAGTTCAAAGACCCATAATTCATTCACTGCTCCTGACATGTAACTATATATCCAGTTAAGTATTGAATTGAATTATGTTTATTAATCCAACTACTTGACAAATTTATGGGAGAGATGTCCACAGACAATATCTTAGACCTTTTATAGAATCCCTTAGGATTTCAAAGGCCTCAGATCAGAAGAACTTTTGATTTATGTTAACTTACCCATTTTACAGCTGATAAAATGGAGGCAAAGGATCTGACTTCAGATTCCCCAGTTGACCATGTTTAGTTGTATATTTCAAAGAGAGTAGAAAGATTTTGATTGTTCCCGATACAAAGAAATGATACATGTTTGAGGTGGTGGATATATCATACCTTGATCACATCATGACAAATGGTATACATGTATCGAGACATCACACTGTAACTCTATAAATATGGACAATTATTATGTGTCAATTAAAAATTTTTTGAAATCCAACCAGAAATAAAGAAACAGACAAAAGATTCCCCAGTAACGAGCAAGGTCAGAACTGGAATCTGGTTCCCTTATGTCCTTGTCTTGGTTTGCTTCCCATTCACCAACCTACCTCCATTTATTTGGATACAAGTTGTACACGTAACTGAGATTAATTCTAGAAGATGCAGAAAGTACCTACTCTATGGTTCTAGAAAGCTCCTGCTGTGTTCTCTTCCCCTCCAAGTTTGCCCAGGCCCATTGAAATGTCCCAGAAGCAGGGTATTTTGAGGGTCTGAGCAAAGGATATTTGCTCTGCTGCTGGTATTTACTTCCCCTCTGCCCATGGCACTGTATAACTGTGGGGCTCCTCAACACAAAAGAAGAGAAAGTCAGGCAACTATTATTCCCAAACCAGATGTTTCTGAGACATTAAAGACCAATTAAAAATTAAGAAACAAAAATAAAAAAGAAATTCAAGGAATAAAAAAGAACTTTAGAAAAGCTCTCAGTGGGATGCAGAGTAATATCTAACAGTTTACTGAGCCCCAAAGCACATTCATCAAACTTCTCCCTGAGGAGCAAGATTACAAATAAAATAAGTGAGAAGAAATCAGCATTTTTATGACATGATGAGCTTAAGGCATTATTTTTCTTTTGGTTTTCAGTTGATTGTGGAAGTCTGGGTGAAGTCTTTCAGAAAACTTATCTTTACCCTCTTGCCCTGGCCTTACCTCTACCACACACACTTGGTTAAAGGTTTGGGTAAGACTAGTTAGGATTTGGAAAGTATTTTATAATATTGAGCTTCTACTCTGAGGAACCAACTGAATGCAATGGATTTTATTTTAATCCATGGAATCATTAAAAACTTACATAGACAGAAGAGTTGGATATTAAAAAGCAAAGATCCTGTGGGATTCTCTAGATTGCAAGAGTTGATGAGATTTAAAAAAAAAAATCACAAAGCAAAAGACATCTGGAACTCATGCACATTTTATTTTTGAGACCAGAACTCTGAGAAGAGCAAATGGCCAAAAGAAAATGGCCTTCTGTGTTAAAGGACTCAGCTACTGATTGGTGGGTTCATGGACTTTTTTTTTTTTTTTTTTTTTTTTTGTGGTGCTGGGAATCAAACCCGTGGTCCTGTTGCATGTGAGGCAAACACTGTACCCACTGAGCTAACTCTCCAGCCCCTGACTTCTTCTTAACATTAATCTGGCTTATCGGGACCAAAGAAGGATATCCAAGATGCTATATTGGAACTCAGCCATCAACAGAGTTTTATAAGGAGTACAATATCCACCTTCTACCATGGCAGAATATACTTTGGTTGGACACCATCTTAAATCTCTCTTCTGCATAAGTTTCTAATTTAGTTTATGGGGAGGTCTCAGCTGCCAATTGTGAATTATATCTCCAATTTTATGATGAAAATCACTGGGAATGTATGGTAAGCTCAAAGTGAATATTGCTGGAAGACATTTGTAAATTGAGAGCTATTCCTATGACTCTAGGAAGATTTATAGCTTTCCAATAACCAGCCTTTCAGAGTTGAAGAGTCTTGCTCCAGAGAAGTAACAATTTGGAGGTGTTTTTAGAGGATTTAAAATTTATTTTCTACTTTTGAAAAACAATTTTCATAATTGTAATCTGTAATATTATCTCTTCTGAGACCTACTGTTTTATTCCTGTTGAAAAAAATACTTTATTGTATCAGATTCTAAATTTTTAAAAAATATTTTTTTTTTCAGTTGTACACAATGCCTTTATTTTTTAAATTTATTTTTACGTGGTGCTGAGGATCAAACCCAGGGCCTCGCATGTGCTAGGCGAGTTCTCTTCTGCTGAGCCACAACCCCAGCTCCTCTAAATTTTATTTATAGGGGGTCTCTGTCTCCAAGAACCTGAAAACACAGCTCAGTGGAAGCAAGGTGGATCTGTAGTTCTATTGCCAGAGTTTATAATGAGCCCCTTCCCTGAAAATTGAGCAGGAAAGTAGAATCCTGAGATGGTAACACTAAGGTACATGAACCCCCCCCCCCCAGATAATCTGTATTTAATGATTTTGATTATCAACACTACTGATCCAGAAACTAAATAAGAAATAAAGCTAATATTAGCTTATTATTAATCAGAGAAAATTGGTTTACATAATATACACAATATGAGCAAGACCTTGTGCCAGGAGCTTCAGAGGATCAGAGTATTAATAAGAGTTTCCCCATTCTGAAGTGGTCAAAAAAGGACAAAAAAAAAAAAAAAAGAAAAGAAAAAGTTAAGTGAAAATACAGAGATACTCTTAAGTCTAACGCACTTGAGTATAGTGACCGATACATCACTGATTGATGGCCACATGGGTGGTTCAGTAATAAATGCTACCATATTTCACCTCATAATTGTCGCCACTGCATAAATGTTGCACCTACTTTTTCAGTCTAAAAATTGTCAGTGTATTTCCGGAATCTGACTTGTGCGCTGGTACCAATGGTAGACCCAATTTACTCAAGTGATGATGCCAGAAAACCAAACCAAAGATAATGGTGCAGAATCTTCTGACATGGAAGATTAAGTTTTGTAAGTCCACACTTCATAACACTGTTGTAAATTTTCTCAAATGTAATATTTTGACAACAATACAGCACATCAATAACAACTAATGTGTTAACTTTTTTTTTCCTTTTTTCAGACCAGAAAATTATAAAGAAATGATGTGCGTTGATTTGGACTATTCAGTTTTAACATATATTCATGAGTATTCTGTGCATCCCTATCTTGCACCAAAGCCAGTTTAGTAATAAATAACTTTTAAGTAATACTGGCACATTTTTTTTAAAAGCTTCACATAGTGGTTGTACCTTTTTTTGCCAAAATGTTTGGTATAAAATCTGCGACAATAATGCAGTAAAATGTGGTATGGCATTAAAAAGGAGGGAGCTGTGAGCTACAGGGTCAACTTGGGATGGTGTTTTAGTTCGCTATTGTCACATAAATTACCCTTGATTTATTTTCTCATAGTTCTAGAGGCTTGAAGTCCAAGATCTTGTCTGGGGGTCTGGTTTCTTCTGAGACGTTGCTCCTGGCCTGCAAATGGTTGCCTTCTTATTATGTCCTCTGGGCATGAGTGCCCTGGTGTCTCCCTGTTTGTCCTAATCTGCTCTAAGGACACTAGTCAGATTGGATTAGGCCACCCTAACAGCCTCATTTAAACTTAATCACCATCTTCAAATAATGTCACATTTTGGGAAATGGGGTTAGAACTTCAACACATGATTGGAGGAATGGGCATTTCAACTCAAAAACAGAGAGAGGGTGGGAAAACATTCAACGTATTAAGACAAACTAAGGCTTACAGGGTTTATTCTCATCCTGAACAAACCCTCTAGACTGACAGATGTTTTTCCTCTTTAGAAGAAAAAAGCAATTTGTTCCCGGTAAGAGATGAGCTCATCCGCTCTGACTGGCAGAGTGACTGTAAGTTGACATTTAAATGACACTCTTTTTGGTTTGTGGAGCCAGGTAGAATCATGAGCTGTAAAAGCATTACTGGAATGGGAAACAGGAACAAAGGCTGAGGCCCACCTGCCACACACCCATCTGCTGCACATACCCATGGAGCTGGGTTTCTGTAATCGATGCTAGCTTGACCAATAATGAGGCATTAAAAATGATCACCCACCAGCAGACAAATTGTGGTTGATCTTTGTGGGTTTAAATAATTTATTTGAAGCTCTCGTTCTCCTCTTTTATTCGGACTATATATTTTTTTTTTCTGTTTTCAGAATCGAATTGTGTTTCATGTTTCATTTTCATTTTCAAAATTTGGACTTAGTAGGATTTCCAAGGTCCAGAAATTCTTCTGGATCTTATGGAGGCTGTTTATTAGAGCCTGTATTTTTATAGGCTTTCTTAAAATTTACTATCCCAAAAAACAAACAAACAAATCTTGGACCCTTCTCCTCCTCCTTTTTCCATTTGAATGTAAATAGAATCCATTTATCTGGGAAACTCTTATTTTATATTCTGCAATTTGGGGACTATGCTGGAACACAGTCCTCTTTCCCTGTACAAGAGTTTACTTTGTTTTCTTTTTCTTCTCAATTCAGGGATTGATACGACCATTACTTCTATTCAGATTATGGAAATCCAGCAAATAATAGATCATCGGTATTGCAGTAGAAGCCTTCTGTGCGGGTAGGTGAGCCTCCCCATGATGCTCTCGTTGTTTCCAGAATTTATTCAGGGCTTCAGTTTTGAGACTGGAATAAAATCTAAAGCTACATGTTGAAACCAATGTGTGCTTACATTACTCCTTAAGTGAAAACACATTGGTTACATGGTGGAGAAGGGAATCATAAAATGGTTGGTATTAGCCAATGTCAATAAATCACAGCCCCAATGATTCCAGTCTCCTGCTTTAATGGACAAGTCCAAAGCAACATGTCTAGGAAGCATCTCTGTGGCTGACTCTCTGAGGGCACATGCCACAGGGACAGAGATGCTCATTATAAACCACAAAGATAGACATGGCTACTCATGGCTCCAGGTTATAAGTGAGCTGACATTTTTATACTTTAGTAACTAGGGCTCTCATTATTTTAATTGCTGAAAAACATACGACTTATCTTAGCTTTTCAGTAAGGAGGAAAAAAATCTAGATTTTGCAAAAATTATCAGCAACATCCATCTGCAGTGCCATATGCCATATCACCTGTATGGGGTGATGATACATCTAGGATAGAATGCAAGCCCCTCCAGCAAGCATTAAGAATGGGGAGTGAGGTTTTCTTAATGTGGTAAATGTTTTACTGGGCATCTATTGGGTTTAAAGGCAAGGCCTATATTTTGAACTGGTATCACAAATCCTGTGGATTTTCAGCCTTATTTATTTTTCAACCTGATAGAATTTGGCTCTAAGTTGATGGTCCTGAGTTATAAGAATAACCTATTTGTTGCTTTCTGATTTGTTTATGATGCATCTATTTGTATCACATTGAATTCTCACAAAAGCCCTAAGAGTTTGGTCTTATTTATACCTATTATGTAGTTTTCAGAGAACTTAAAAAAGTTTGTCTAAGATCACTCATGTAATAAGTATCAGAGATCTTAATTAATGTAGCAGGACATATTGAAGAAGAATTAGACGGTACAGGCTCAAGTCCTAGGACTTGGGTAAAATGTCTATTCTCTTTGCATATTCATTTCTCATCTATGAGTCTATTATCACCTGAGCTGGTTGCTGTGAAGCACGCAGATATTGGGAGGCACATAATAGGAAATGAATTCCATTCATCTAAGCTCCACAGTGGAACAAAACACTCTTCATCCCAAGACAATTCTTCCTCTCTCTATTTTTAATACACTCATTCACTGAAAGAACACTGTTCTTAACTTGGTATAAAAGTAGCACTCTTATCTTTCTTTCTTTTTTTTTTTTTGAGGTAAAGTAAAAATTGTCTGTATTCAAAGTGCACAATGTGTTGTTTTAATTTGATATTTATATTCATTGAAATGGATATAATTTTGAAATTCCAGTTCTTTCAATTCCATATATTTTTGCTTTCACATTTTTAACAACTTAGTTTAATCTAAAATGACTTTTTTTCCCACTTACCTGACTTTAAGTTGTTTCTTCATATAATTCATATAATTAAGTTGGTTATAATTCATCTTAAGTTATTTCTCCATGTAATTCACAAGATGACCAGTCATAAGGAACACTTTGTTTTAGATACAAATATGCCATTTTTTTTCCTGGGATTTTTTCATTATAATGTGAATTAGTGGAACTCTCCACTCCCCCAATTATCTCTTAAATTTGGGAAGCGAGAAGAAACTTATGGATAAACAATTCTATCTTAAATTGTGTTGAGAGCCACAGCCGGTCGGAATGGCCCCTGGCATTTTGCCAGAAGTAATGGTTGAGAGGCAAGCCATTAAAATGATGCTGGATTGATTCAATTGTATATTAGACCTTTACTGTCCAGTAATAGGATGGCTCTTGCTTGCAATGGGCACCCGCTACTTTGGAGCTCCCGTTGAGTTCTCGCGGGGTTCCGAGGGTGAGTGCGCGCAGCCCTGGGGTGGGAGTTCCGGTTGGTGTGTGGTGTGTGGTGTGTTCCTAGAGGAGCCGCGCTGGGGAGAGTTCCTGGGGAGCGTGTGTGGAGTGTGCTGGTGGAGTTCAGAAATAAAGTTTGTTCCTGCTTGAGTGGCTCCTGATTTGTGCCCAGCCAGACTGCAGCATTATTGTAATCAGGGCTATGATAATTATAATAGATTCAGGTTCTAAAAGTACGTATTTTCTTTTCCTACATTTCCATATAGGTCATTTTTATAACTCAGGACCATTGACTTAAACTCTAAGTTCTATCAGGTTAAAAAAAGGAATAAGGCTGAAAAACATACTCATTGTTTTAAAAGAAATAATTTAAGGTTAAAAATTGGCATTTATTATTCCCATTCCTCCTTCCCTGAGTCTGAAGCCTTTGCCTCATTTGTCTTCTGAAATCTGTGTCTCTGTAATGGGGACTGAATTTATTTCTTCTGTGTTTAATTTTGAATATTTGGTCCGGGATTTGATTTTTTTTTCTTGTATGATCTAAAAAAGTATAATCTTTGTAGTATGTTTAATATCAAGATATGAACGAGATCATTCTGAATGATCAATGACAAGCAAGTCTCTGTAAATCAAAACATTAAACCAGGTTAAACTTGATTGCCTATATTTATTATTTATTATATAGTATTTCACAGTTTACATATAAATATTGAGTGGCAGAAAGCCTTTTAACATCTTTCTTGCATATTTTGATTTGTGGTTTTAATTTTTTCATATTTAGGCCTGGAAATTATAATTACAAAATTCCTGTTAATAAGTACACACCTACCAATGTCAAATTCTCTCTGGAAATCAAGTAAGTACATGGTATAAAATACAAATTTGAACAGTAAGCCTGAATTTAGTTCACAATTTAATCAATAAGTTTGGAGATAGAAAGCCATTAGTCAGCATTTACTAATGATGGGTGGAGAGGTGGTAAGTGGAGGGAGGGTTTTCAGAATGAGAACTGGGAACATTCCCTCCAGGAATGTAAGGGCTATACTCATCCCTGTGCAGCAGGAGTAGCTTTAGTTGCAAGTTTATGAGCTGCAAACTTCTGATTTCTCTTCAGATTGGGGTGGGAACAGTGGTAATAACTTGACCCCTGAATGGGGGGCTGCGTATTTTGATGAGATCCTGGTAGCAGTGCTAATTAATGCAGGTGCCACCCCTTTGCTCCAGGACAGGAGAGAATAAAAGAGGAGCCAGAGTTTGGAATTGGGCAGACCAGGGTTCAGATTATGTTGCTGTCACTAATCCTATGATCTTAGAAAAGTCACTTATTTTCTCTAAGCTACCATTTCTTCCTCCATAAAACGAGTAGTGCATTATACCATGGCACATAGAGCTGCTGGGGGAATTAGGGTTAATGCTGGTGTAGTGAGCAGCTGCCATTTGCTGAGCACAGGCTGTGTGCCAGGTACTGTACGCATTAATCCTGGGTTGTAGAATCCTCACAACAGTTCTCCCAGGATGGCATTTTTTCAGTTTATGTTTTATAGATGGGAACTCTTGATGTACGCAGATTAAAAAAAAAAAAAGTGCTCTAAAACACAGCTAGTATGTGGCTGGCCTGGGCTTCCAACACAGCCCTCCCTCTCTTGTCTGCCCTGGGAGAGGAGATGTGGAAGGGCATTGCCCTTTCCTGACTCTTAGCACTCAATTAATGGTAACTTTTAATTATCTACCTTCCCTTCAAAATCACAGAACTCTAATGTAACCTATTCTTATCTAATATTTTAAGTAATTATGGTACTTTGATTTTCAGCTCACTTCACTCAAAAATTGTGCCATGAAGAAATCAGGTCTCTTGATTTTAGTCTCTCCTTTTTTCCTCCTCCATGTCCCCACAGCCCCGCTCTTTATTGTCCCTCTGTCCTCCCTACTCTGCCCCTGCTCCTACCTCAGTTATTTCCCCCTCCATCATCCTCCATGGCCCCGCTGTCTCACTTGGGCCCCACTGTGTGTCTCACTGTACACCATCTTTCATCTGCTTTGCCCACGTGAAGAGGCTCAGTTCAGCTGCTTACCTTGGAAAGATTTGTTTCAAGCAGCCAATGTTTCATGACAGAATCCACCATCTTTCAAGGCACAGAGAGAGAGAGAGAGAGCTAAATGTACTATTCTTACAAGCTAAATGTACCATTCTTACAAGCTAAATGTACTATTCTCTAGCATTCCTTGAATAACTTGGAATAGCATTTCCTTACTCATTTCTAGCTTTCAAGGAAGGAAATAAGATTATATGTTATAACTTCTGAAATGGCAAAAAGATCACCTTGAGCCATTAAATCAGGCCTTTTGGCTTATGAACCATTTAAAAAATCTGATTGATTTTTAAAATAACACATATAACAGTCCTGCCTTATCCACCGTTTCTCATTCTACAATTTCAGTTACCCTTGGTCAACCTCTGTTTTAGTCAGCTTTTCACTGCTGTGACTAAAAGACCTGACAAGAACAATTTTAGGAGGAAAAGTTTATTTGAGGCTCATGGTTTCAGAGGTCTCAGTCCATAGTCCATTCAGAGGCAGAACATCATTGTGGAAGAGTGTGGAAGAGGAAAGAGGATTCAGACATGGCCACCATGAAGCAGAGAGAGAGAGAGTTCACTGGCCAGATACAAAATATTTACCTTAAAAGCACACCCCCAGAGACTCACCTCCTCTAACCACACCCCACCTGCTTTCAATTACCACTCAGTTCATCCCTGTTAGGGGATTAATTCACTGATTGGGTTAAGTCTGTCATATCATTTTACCTCTAAGCCTTCTTGCATTGTCCCACACATGAGCTTTTGGGGGATAACTCACATCCAAACCATAACAACCATAGTGAAAAACTATTCAATGGAAAATTCTATAAATAAATAATTCATAAATTTTAAGCAATATGTTATTATGATTGTTCTATTTTATTGCTGCTTACTGTTGTTAATCTCTTACTATGCCTGATTTATAAATTAAGTTTGATCATATGTTTTGTATGTATAAGAAAAAAACAGTCATACATAGGGTTTGGTACTACTGTCTGTAATTTCAGGCATCTACTGAGGGTCTTAGAACTTGTCCTCCCATGAACAAGGGAGGGGATTACTGTAAACTCAACTGAGATTATAAATTGTTCCCATTTGAGCAAAAGTATTGTTTCCAAAGAAGGATGGATCTCATCCTTTTAGTGATGATTCATGAGTGAGTCTCTAGAGAGGAACCATCCTTTCTTGCAGAGCTTCTACTCTGATAACTTTAAAGCCTGGTAATTTCTCATGGGATTCACCCCCAAATCCTTACTTATGTTTGTTACCTTGTTATTTCAAATAATATCTACCTACACCAGGAGTTGGCAGAATCTAAAATCTTAGACACTTCGGGTAAGAGCGAATTTAGCTGCAAGTGTGAAGAGAGGGGATATGTCCAAAGATTATTTAAAAATCTCTGGAAATATTAAGTTCTGAAGTGAGGTGATCTAAGTCATGACATTAGATTTTACAAACCATCATGTGGTGTTTCAGTAGTTATCTGAAGGTGGCTTGCTTTCTGTAATAATGAGATGTAAGCTAGTCTATCAGTATCCCTGAGCCTTGTATAATAAAATGGCTATCGTGAACTTCAGAGGGATTTCTGAGTTACATAGTCAATGGGCCCTCTTTGTATCTAATAGGAGCTGGGAACTGCTTCTTCAATTGTCCTCTCTTTTCTTTGTGTCTTGAAGCACAACAGAGCCTTTGATAGTCTTCCAGTGCAAATTCACTCTTGGAAATATATGCTTCAATAGTAATAGGGAAACCAAAGGATTCCAAAACCAAGGAGAAGTCTTCCAGGAGATGACACAGGTAATGTTTTCTGACTCCTTGACATTAGTTTGTTCCAGTGAAGGATGGTTAGAACTGTGGCCTCTGTTCCCTGCCGAGGGAGGGACACACTGAACCTCCCTCAGCTGGCTAAACCTGGTCACAGGGCTTGGCTCAGCCTTTTTGTGTCCTTTAGAAGCTACAGACTGTTTTAGTGACACCTATCTAAAGCTGTTATTGCAGACACCTCTCCTGCAGTCCTAAGGAAATGCCTCCTTGGGCTGTGCTCCTTCTAGTGCAGTGTGGAGTGTGGTTATGAAATGGATCTCTCTCATTTATTATTTAGGGATACCAGCACATTTGGAGCCTCCCTGTCGCCCCATTCTCCGACAGCGCATACCATTTCCGTGTGGCTGCACCAGTAAGCTTGCTTTTTTTTTTTTCTTCTTCTTCTTCTTCTCTTTTTAATAAGAAATTGATCCCTAAATAAATAAGTACAATACTTCACAGTTAATTTTTACATTCATCTTTCTTTTCTCCTTTTCTGATAGGATCTGGCTGACTGTTCAACAGATCCTTTTTTTGCTGGGATATTCTTCACAGACTACTTCTTTTATTTCTATCGACTCTGCGCCTAATTTATTCAAGTTTGGGGATTTCACCAAAGAAAAATGCTCAGAAATTCAGTCAACAGACACAGAGATCCCCTTGCAACTTTTTTTCGTCTTTTTCTGTGAAACGTTTCACATTTATTGCTGAAGGACTCTTTTAGGCTTTGGCTTCCAACAGTTTGGAGACATTAATGAGGAGAATAAAGTGTTTGCTGGAACCTGAGAGAATGTGGTGTTTGATTGTGCCATGACGCTGAAGGAAACATATCCATCCCCGAGAAAACCATACTGTTGCATTTGAAAATACTGCTTCTGGTATTAAGGATGTGTAAAGTCAAAATAAGCAGGTCTAGTACTACTTTTGTCTTATTGTGTTTCGAGGCTTATGGAAAAAAATAAAAAGCCATTTCAACTTGGACCTGCTAAACAGAGATTCTGGAGAATATGTGATGTGGTGGAGGAGGGAGTGAGTGGCGTCTGATGTTAAACTCACATTGAGGCAAATGTGTGTGTGCGCGTGTGTGTGCGTGCGTGCAATACTAGAGTACACATGTAGCTTGCCAATGAAATGGATTTAAGAGAAAGAGTTGCAACTCTTCTTCACCATGCTCCATGGGCCTAAACTTGCTGTGTGGGTGGAATATGTCCTCTTATGAAGATGGAAGCCCAAATACCACAGGGCCTGCTGAAACTGTTCAAACTAGCTAATCGAGCATACACTGCCTTGCTCCTGCATTCCTTGGACATCACAATAAAGGTTCAAACCTGCAGTACCCCCCTCTCCCTTTGCCTCCTGTTCCTGTGCTCTGGTTTAGAACTTGGAAAATCAAGCTCCTCTCCCCGTACTTCAGGGAATAGGGCAGTTGAATGGCTGTTCTTCCCTTATCTTACTGTTGGTCAATTTGAATGAGGCTGTTTTATTTTTTACCTTCACAATGGTAATCAGCTGTAATAATACACCTTCCTCTTTCTTATTTTTAGATATTACTAGATAAGTACCATGTGGATAGAAATTAATTGTGAGACCTCAATATTAAGAAAAGACATGGTTCTTGCCAGGTTTGGTGATTCATGCCTATAATCCTCAGGGTTCCAGAGGCTGAGGCAGGAGGATCACAAATTCAAAGCCAGCCTCAGCAGCTTAGCAAGGCCTTAAGCAACTTAGCGAGATTCTGTCTTTAAATTAAAAAATAAAAAAGGCTGGAGGTGTGGCTTAGCGGTTAAGTACTACTGGGTTTAATCCCTGGTACCAAAAAAAAAAAAAAAAAAAAAAGACATGGTTCTTGCTTTCACAGAAGATTTTTTTTTTTTAATTATTTATAGGCTGGGGCTGTAGCTCAGTGGCAGAGCACCTGCCTTGCACAGGTGAGACACTGGGTTTGATCCTCTGCACCATTTAGAAATAAACAAATAAAATAAAGGCATGCTATCTACCTACAACTACAAGAAATTTTAAAAAATATTTTTAGTTGTAGATGGAACAATGCCTTTAATTAATTAATTAATTTATTTATTTATTTATTTTTGTGTGGTACTAAGGATTGAACCCAGTGTCTCACACGGGCTAGGCAAGACTTTTATCACTCACTGAGCTACAACTCCAGCCCCATCACAGAAGATATTTTGAAATAAATTTCTTAACACAAAGAGTTTAACCTCTGGAGCCAGGTAGTCCCATCCTTGAGTTCAAATCCTGACTTTATCTGTGTCTCCTCTGGCAAGTTATTTGAATTCCTTAAACTTCCATTTCCTCATTTATAGACGAGGACAGTGAGTATTTACAACAGACAGGATTAACTGAGATAAAGTGTGTAAAACATAGAAAGCTTCTTACTAAATATGAGCAATTATTATATCCACATAGAACAGAATCAGGAAGATTACAATGGGATTATGAAGGGATTGAGTAACTAAATACACATAAATCGAGTTATTTTTGTAAAAAAATAAAAACCAAACAGCACATAGAACATATGCCTTTGTATTACATAACATTTATAATTTTATTATATATTGAAAATCATTTCTCCTTTCACATTTAACAGCATAGCCTTTGTAGAAAATGGAATAGGGTAGTTAATTCTTGGGAGGAGTACGTCAGATTCCTCCAGTTTCTTAGACTCAAATTCACATTTGCTTCTCCTGAGCTATAGTATTGGCCTGGCCCAGCATGACTTGGGGTTAGTTCTGGAGTTGTCATTCCATGTCTTTTTTTTTCCCCTGGTGCTGGGGATTGAACCTAGGTATGCTTTACCACTCAGTTACATCCTCACTACTTTTTATTTTTTTTATTTTGAGATAGGATCTCACTAAGTTGCCCAGACTGGCCTTGAACTTATGAACCTCTGGCCTCAGCTTCCCAAGTCCCTGAGAGTATGCACATAAAAGAGCAGGTGATGTGTGTGTGTGTGTGTGTGTGTGTGTGTGTGTGTGTGTGTGTGTGTGTGTGAGTCCATTAATCTGACTCCTTTTCTCCCAGTTCTTATTCATATGCTTATGCTCAGGACAATATGGGGGTTTCAGATATCTACTGTAGTTCAGTCATATTGCCCTAAGGGGGTTTCCATACAGTATTCCCAATAAATTCCATTAGAAGACTAGATGTTGAAAGTCTTCCAGAAGATAGTGAGCCACCTGTGGCACCCTGTGGCATGCTGGGATTAGTTAAGCTTGCTGGGAGAAGAGAACTTGCTAGAAGATTCTCTTTGTATTAAGAAAACTACTCTAAGATTTCATCTTATTCCAGTCAGAATGGCAATTATTATAATATAAACAACAAACTCATACACTGCTGGTGGGACTGAGAATTGGTGCAGCCAATATGGAAAGCAGTGTGGAGATTCCTTGGAAAATTGGGAATGAAGCCACCATTTGACCCAGCTATCCCGCTCCTCGGTCTATACCCCAAAAGACTTAAAAACAGCATACTACCATGATACACTCACAACAATGTTTATAGCAACTCAGTTCACAATAGCTAAACTGTGGAACCAACCTAGATGCCCATCAGATGAATGGACAAAAAGAAATGTGGCATATATACACAATAGAATATTACTCAGCAGTAAAAGAGAATAAAATCATGGCATTTGCAGGTAAATATATGGAGTAAAAGAAGATAATGCTAAGTGAAATTAGCCAATCCCCCCCAAACCAAAAGCCGAATGTTTTCTTTGATATAAGGAGGCTGATTCATAGTGGTGTAGGGAGAGGGAGCATGGGAGGAATAGACAAACTCTAGATAGGGCAGAGGGGTGGGAGGGAAAGGAAGGGGGCAGGGGGTTAGAAAGCCTGATGAAATGTGATGGACATCATTATCCAAAGAACATGTATGAAGACACGAATTGGTGTGAATATACTTTGTGTACAACCAGAGATATGAAAAATTTGTGCTCTGTATGTGTAATATGAATTGTCATGCATTCTGCTGACACATATAAATTAAAAAATTGATTAAAAAACCCCACTTTCCCAGCTGTGAGCTGTCCACTGTGGACAAAGCTGCTTCAAGCCCAAAGGCCTTTTTTATTTTTATACCAGAGAATTATGATTTCAGTGGCATGACCTCAGACTGAAGTAATTTAAATGCCTGTCTTCCCTCCAAAACTCATAACCCCAGTGTAATCATGAGAAGAATATTAGTCGAATTTTAACTGAGAGACAGAAATTCTACAAAATATCTGATCAGCACTTCTCTAAATTGTCAAGGTCTTCAAAAACAAGGCAGTGCTCAGAAACTGACACCGCCGAGAAGAATGTCAAGAGATACAGACGAACTATAATGTGGCATCCTGCGTAGGACCCTAGAATGGAAAAGAATAGGTGGTGAAAACTAAGGGAATCTGAACAGAGAATAAACTAAAGGATAGGCTTCAGTTATCGTGTCAACATTAACTTATTGTGAACAGTTACCATACTAATTAAGGTAAGGTGTTTATAATAGGGGAAGAGGCATGGAGATTATGGGAACTCTGTGTACTCTTTGCAATTTTCCGTAAATCTAAAACTGTTCTGAAATAAAAAGTTTATTTTTAAAACATTCAGAGAATGTTTTAAAACATCTCAAGGAAGAGCTGAGCTGAAATATCACATGCCACCAGGTGCCATTTATGATAACACAGGGTAAGTTCGGCCATGAAAAATAGACACTGTTTTTTAACTTCAGGTCATTCAAAGTACCTTAATTCCCTGCTTTGCCAATTATTTAAGATCATATTCTATATAACACTTTAATAGCCCCATAATATAGAATATTGTAAAATAATCACATATCATAAACAAATAGAATTCTAATCATTTCTATGAGTTCTAATAAGATACTCAAATACGACTTTGAAATCTCTGGTGGGTTTTTTTTAAAACAACTGAAACATAAAACTTCAAGTTTACAAAAACTTGCGTGCAGGTGTTCAACCCACCAGTGATTTTTTTGTTTTTTGTTTTGTACCAGGGATTGGCCATTTTTAAAAGTATTTTATTTAGAGACGGGGCCTTGCTGAGTTGGTAAGTGCCTTGCAAAGTTGCTGAGGTTGGCTGTTATGGTTTGAATGTGAGGTGTCGCCAAAAACTCACCTGTGAGACAAGGCAAGAAGTTTCAGAAATGATTGGATTGTGAGCCCTAATCGGTGAATTAATTCATGATGGGATTAAGTGGTAACTAGAGGCAGGTGGGGTGTGGCTGGAGGAAGTGGTTAATTGGGGGCATGGCTTTGGTATATATATTTGTATCTGGAGAGTGGAGTCTCTTTCTCTGCTTCTTGATCACCATGATGTGAGCTGCTTTCCTCCACCACCCTCTCCCGCCATGATCAGTCTCACCTGGAGCCCTGAGGAAAGGAGCTAGCTTTTTTGGACTAAGATCTCTGAAACTGTGAGCCCTCAAATAAGGTTATGCTAGTTAGATCCTTTAGTCACAGCAGCAAAAAAGCTGACTAAAACAGAAATTGCCATTCTTGGGGGCTTGAGGTGAGGCTGAACACCAAGCCTCATTAATTCACTGATTAGGTTAAGACTTTCACAATCCAATTATTTCTCCTCTGAAACTTCTTGCATTGTCTCACATGAGCTTTTGGGAGACATCTCACATCCAAACCATAACAAGAGCTTTGAACTCAGGATCTTCCTGCCTCAGCCTCCTGAGTCACTAGGATTACATCCCACCAGTATTTTTAAACAAAAATTTCATAATATTCTTAATATACCTTTTTAAAATTTTTCATTCTA